CTGCAATTCAGCCCCAAACCCAACACAGCACAGCTCACAGATCTGTCCTGAGCAAAGCCACGCATATGCCGTCATCATTAACATGATGCCTACTTTTACACACACTCAGATTGGTACCAGGGCACTGGCCACAGGTGGCTTATTTTACCACCACAAGGGCTAATCACCACCTCAAGAAGTGACTTACTGGGTTTCTCTATTCTGATGTATGGTATTTTAAATAAGTTTCATTCATGCACATCTTAAAGAAGATTCTTTGGGACTCTCCCCCTCTCCTTTTTTTTTTCCTTCTGGCATATCACAACTTCAAAGACTTAGAGTTTGAGCCACTTCCAACCTTCTCTCTCATCATTTTGCTAAATTAATATGTTGAGTTCTAGTTTGTAATCACTCATTAATTAAATGGTCAGGTGCTATGGTAATCTTGTTTCCCCCAAAAAGAAACAGGACCCTCCATAACCTAGAAAAAACAGACAACAGAACCAGAGAAACTAGATTTGAATTGAAAGACACGAACTCAAATAACCTGGTCCATAAAAACAAAACAAAACAACAACAACACACACACACACACACACACACACACACAAACACCCTGGTCCACTGTGCAAAGAGCTTCAGAACACATGCAACATTTAGGGAGAATTGGTCCTGGTGCACTGGTATCAACATCTGTAAACAGACACAAAGAGGTAATTGTAAGTTATCAAGAGCTGTGGAAATAGGAGTTACCAAGTAATTACCATTGTTTCAATCTGAGTTACCACATCTTCACCTCAAAACAACTGGCAGCTCGTGTACAATTAACTCTCCTTACTGCAGCACAGACATCAAAACAGTAGCCATATCAGATTAATTTTAAGTCACCTAATGCAATACAGAGCACCACAACTTCAAGAGTGAGTGGCATCAACTGGCTCCCTAGCTTGCCCGTCTTTCACAGGAGTGTCCCAAAACCCCCAAAGTTTAAGAAAGAAATCAACCGGTACTCTATACTAAAAGGCTAGCTCAGCTCCAAGACTCCAAATTCATTTAGATTTGTGGATTTTTTTTCCCCAAATACAATCAGTGGCCAACGAAGGAGTCAATGGCTTCTCCCTGTGTTCAAGTCCCCTCCTACCCAACCACCCCCTTTCAGAAATTAGAAGGAAGCCACCAGTCTCCAAACTGGCTGATGACATTTCAGCCTACAAGATATTTTCATACTTTCGTTATAATAAACCACTGAAATGAAGATGAATAGCGGACACCTTACTAACCCACTGGCTAAAGCACTTGAAGTCCAGCATTAGCATACGAAGTCCAAAATTCTTTAACCCAGACCAAAGCCCAGTATACATATGTTATATACATTTCATTATCAGTTCTCCATTCCTTTGTGTTACTCTGCAGTATGCAGAGTGGAGTCTATTGTTTGCCTGGTCCTAGCTGTTCACTTTCGTCACTAGCTTGCTAACTAAAAGACTTTCCATTTGTATTCAAGTCGGAATTCAGTAATTCAGTACCACGCTGTATTCCACTCCCTTCATTACCCTCAGGATTGCCCAGCAAGCGCTATTCAAATTAGTTCTCACAATCCATTTACCAATGCTAGTAAAATACCAGAACTTAAAACAGGTGATAGTCCTCAATTTCTGATTTTTCTCCAAACACTTAAAGGCTTTATTTCGCATTTCTAAAAGATTTTTATGTATTTATTTGACAAAGCGAGATACAGTGAGAAAGGGAACATAAAGCAGGGGGAGTGGAAGAGCAGGCTCCCCACTGAGCAGGGAGCTGACAGGGGGCTCGAGGCCTGACACGGGGCTCACCGCTCCACCCCAGGACCCCAGGATCATGACCTGAGCAGAAGGCAGACGCTCAGCAACTGAGCCACCCAGGTGCCCCTTATTTAGCATTTCTAATATGGACTTTACTACAAATAGCCCAAGCAACATTTAAGTCTCTCAACCACATGGCTCAAAGGGCCAATTCACTCAAAGAACACACTAGTCACTGTTGTGGGGTTCAGAAGAAAAAAAACAGTGTATTCTTTCTGTTTCGGCCCACTGTGACATAGCAGAAGAGGGCCAAATCAAGGAGGAGTCCTCAAGTGGACAATCTGGTCAAGGTGAGGCTGAAAAGCAGCTGACTACTAGAGATGAAGAGCCCCAACAGAAGGGAAAAGTAGGTTACATCCCCTGGTTACATGCCAGCCCAAAGATGCGGACATAGTGGGATTGAGCCCACAATGGTCATTTATCTAATGTAATCCATTGAGTGAACTTTTAGCACCAACCTACACCTCAGCTGAGTGTTATTAGTCACCAGGCAGACCAGACAAGAATGGAAATATTGCAACATAAAACCTCCCTGCAAAAAACAACTTGAAACTTATATCCTGATGGACATCTCTGTAGACCAACAGGGGTATGTTATCATCATTTGCACAATCTTCAATCCTCAATTCATAAACAGCTGGAAACGAAGGAGGATTCATATATTAGAACATATGCAGGATACTTGTTATGCAATTTTAAAGAGCAGCTTCTGAGACAAAATTCTGTAAGGAAAAAAAAAGTGTGCTCTCAGTTGAACATTCCGTTGAATTCTGAACACAGCTTGACATTTATCTGCCAGAAAAGACCCAGGTGACCACAGCTGCCTTGCCTCCTCTCCCACATTCAGCACGATGACTTTTTTATTTTAATTGCAATAGTCCAACAGTACCTGAAAAATAATAAGTGATAATACTCTAGGAAAAGAAAGAATTGATTGAAAAGGAGCATCGCTATTTCCTTCTTCTTACTCTTACTTTGCCTACCTATTCTGAGCCCAGCCTCCACCTTGCTGACCCAGACTTTTTCATTTCCTCTTTGCTCACTAGGCTCTGGCTGTTATTGCCTCCCCTTTCCCGTTCTCCCTCACCTCCCTACACCCACCCTCTCCACCCTACCCCTTTCTTCCCAAACCCTAGAACTAGCCAGTCACTCCTGTCAGTTTCTGCACTAGCTAGTCCCTGAATCTGGAAGGCTCCTCCTCTATACCTGCATGGCTGGCTTCTTTTTATTTAAAACTCAACTTAAGTGTTACCTCCTCAAAAAGGGCTTCCTTGACTGCATCCCAATCAGACATTTGCTGTCACATCACTCTTTCTTCAGCATTTACCAAAATCTGATTTATGTTTATTTCTTCTGTCCCCACATACTCTGGTGTAAGCTCTGTGAGAGCTCAGACCTTACGCTTGCATGCAACTTCGTCCACCCAGAGCCCAAAATAATGGCTAGCACTTATTAGCTGGTCAATAATGCTTGTTGCATGAATGAATTTTGGACTTTTTATTCAATGAGTCCAAATCAATTAAGGTGAGAGCAGTAGTCATTCTTCTCTTTTGTTACAGTTGTGTGAAACCTCTAAACATGCTGTTACTTGCACAATCAAATCATTAAATATTGTTCTATCAGGCCTGAAAGCCCGGCTGAGTAGGATGGGATCCATTATAATTCTTCTAGCAACACACATAAACTCAGTTATAGAGGGCCAGAATTTAGGGACACGCTCTAATCAAAGGATCCCTAAAATTCAGGCACTATCTCTTAAAGTTCTTCAGAAAACACAGTTCCACATTCAACAGATGACTTCCAAAGAAAACATCAATACCAAAATAGGAATCATTACATTTCACTCTAAAATTCCTACAACAAGCTAAAAGAGCACTACTTGATTTTTTTTTAAACCAACAGAATATCAGTAAAGAGATCTTTCTAATCATTCTCTGCTTTCTTCAAATAATTTTTCTGTTATTGGCTTATATTCTTTTTTAAAACAAAACAGATCACATTTTCTCATTTAAGTCCATCTATACACAAACAATCAGCTAAATAGACAGAAATCAGCACAAGCCAAATGTGTCACTGAAGACTTGTGTGCCCCACACACAAATAGAGAAAGAGATAAAAGAGCTATTGTCCAATTGCAGAAACAAAAAAGTAATATGGGGTTTTCTGTTCTCTGAAGTGCATCATGAAGTGTGGGTGGAGAGAAACACAGAAATCCAGAATTAGCCTAACATCAAATCATTTTGGAAAGAGTTGACAACATGTAAATTCCTCACACATAAAGTATTTAGAACAAGAGACTTTGATTCCTGGGCTATGATGCCATTTAGGAATCCCTGCAAGGGCTTTGGAATTCCAGTATTCATAAGAGAAAATGCTCATCTTAATTTGGAGCTACCAAGCATTGAGAGGTACTCCCAATGTGACACAGCCTGTAACTGAAGTATTACAAAGCTTGCAGTAAGAGCTGGGAAAGAGGCTGAACACCAAATTCAAAAGAGGTAACCAAGGTACCAAGTGCCATGAAGGAAAAACAAAAACAAAAAACACCATGATTACCACCTAGCCATGGAGATCTGAGGTGGAAACGAGGGGTGTATATGGGGGAAGGTAAGGGGTGAAGGAGAATGGAAAAAAAAATACATTTGTCACCCCGTTCCACTTCCTATACAGGATACAGGCAAAGCTTCCAGCCCCATTACCTCGGGCACAGATGGTTATCGTTTATAGCAAAGGTGCATAGAAAGGCCTTCAGGTTTGAGCCCCTTAATTCCAAGGCTGTTAATGATTAAAGAGAAAGATGGGGGTGGGGAGGAAAATGAGGGAGGAGGGCGCTGGAGATTCACCCACCACCTCCCGCTTGGACTCCTACCTCACAGCGCTTACCCGGGCCAGAGGACCAGAGCCTGCGACCCTCGCCAGGGCAGCTCCAGCCCCTAGATTCCCAGGCCTGGGGTGAGGGGTGCTGGCGGTGAGGAGGCAGGGACAGTAGGTAAGTTTTCTTGAGCCCTGAGGCTGACACGCCACAGGCTCCCCTCACAGCCTCTTCTTCCAAAGGCACCAGTCCAGACAAGGAGCTGATTTCCACTCCTCCCCTTCCACCCCCTTTTTCTCGAAGGTACCCAACCCCCGCCCCTTCATCTCCCAATGCTCCCCGCTTTTCCTCAACCCCCCCAAACTCACAGCTGCTCCAGAGGTTCCTCCAGTCAAACCCTTTCTGGAAACGACGGCGGCCCGGCGGGTCCAAACCACCTACCATCCTCGCTCGCGTTTCCAGGCTCCCTACCCGCGCCGCCGCCGCCTCTTCTTCCACCACTGCCGCCGCCTCCTCTTCATCTGCGGCCCACCGGCGGCGGCCGCCCCCAAGCCCCGCCCCCTCCATCGCCTCCTGCATCATCACTTCCGGTAACCCCGCAGGCCGCCAGCTCCAGGAGGGAGAATAGAAGAGGGGCGGGGAGGAATGGGTGGAAGATTGCGTCACGACGTACGCAAAGACGTACGAAGCCGTCGCCAAGTAAGGGCAAAGACCTAGGGACGCTGAGGGAGGGCTAGGAGGAGCTGGACTGGACCATTTTTTGGGGGGGTGGCTGAAGTAGGGGGAAGGATAACGAAAAGGGTAAAGGGAAACTAGGGAGAGGATGAAGTTGGCCATATTGTTGCGTATACGGCGGAAGGTGGGTTAGAGTATAAAGTTTCAGAGAAACTCGAGACTACCTTTGACCTGAAACTAATCCTCCCACAGATATCCTCCCGGTGGTTTAGTCCGGCCTGGCCTACCGGACCTGCCCGACGGTTGTCGGCCGCAGCTCAGCTAAACTCCCGGCACCGCCTCCTCCTGGCCCGCGGTAGGCTGCGGCACTTCTGTGGGTGGGGGAAGGCGGGACTGACGCAGAGTGAGTGTAGGGGATGGAGGCGCTGACTCCTGGCGCGGGAGACTGGGGGAAGGGGTTGGCTCCCCAGGGCAGGGATGGGGTGGGGGCGGGGGTGCGACGTTGCTAGGCGACGTGCTTGTGTGACCCCAGCCTCGCGAGGGCGGCTCGGTGTCATCGCCACTGGCTTTGGGAACCTGCCGAGGGAAAGCGGCCTGAGGGCCAGGAAGCGGAGGCCTGTTGTGGCGACGCTGAGATGCCCGTTGGGTCCATCTGAGACTTTCCTGAGTCCTTTGGATCCCTGAATATAAAGGGAGGTTAGTAAGGGCAGTTCCGGGAGCGAGAGGCGTCAGGCCGAGGAAAGTTGACTCAAACGAGGCCCGGTAGAGGCTACAGAGACTTTCTAGGCTAGTGTGAACCTGCTTATTTCCTCGGTCCACAAACAAGAACAAGACGGAGGCTTTGCTCCGTGTCTTTTTATTCGAGTCCAGAAGAAAATTAAAATGTAAATCAGTAAGGATATGATTTCAGCAAAGTGAGATATCAGCAGGTGCCCCATGTCCCCGAAAACCATAATACCGGGTGAAGGGGTAGAAGATGGAAGGAGGGTCAGTAACTCGGATAAAGCTTTTCAGACAAGGCCAGTTTTCGTAGAGATGCAAGAAAAGGGAGAAGCTAGGGAATGGACTTTCTAGGTGGAGAAAAGAACCAACGGGAAGGGTTCTGAGGAAGGAAACGGTGGGAAAGCCAAGTGGCTGGAACTGAAAGAACAAGGGCCCGAGTGGTTTGTGATGGAGAAATGGCAGGGCCTGGTCAAGCATAGCATTTTAGCTCAAGGTAAGGGTTTGGCTGTTACATTACCTGAGGGTTTTGAGAAAGGCAGTCACCTGATTTACATTTTTAAAAAATCTCTTGCCTGCTAGATAGAGAAGGGTAGCCATTGGCAAACCTATTAGGAGGCTGCTACAGTAGGCCAAGGGAGAGATGGGTAGTGGCAGTGGAAATGCAAATAATTAAATTCATAATGCATTTTGAAAGTATTGCTTGCAAGACTTGCTGCCGGATTGGATGTGAAGTGTATGGGAAGAGGAGGAACCAAGGATGACTCCTAAGGGAAAACAGTTTGGGAGGGAATATCCTACATTCTCTTTGAAACATACTAGATTTGCTAAGTCTATTAACCATCCAGGTGAATTTGTCGAGAAGTTAGATATACAAGTCAGGGGGGAAATCCCTAGAGAAAATAAATAGAGGGGTTTTAGAGGCTACCCAGAGAAGAGAAGCCAGCAGAGACCCCTGACACAGATAAGGCCTCAGAGATAAAAGAAGGCTCCCTTAATATCTCACAATAATGAGACGCACTCTCACAATCAGTGAGACTTAACCACCCAGTAGCCAGCTTCTGCTCATCCTCTAAGCCCTGGGTCAAATCCCTTCCTTCCCTTCCACTCCAGCTGTCAGTGTTTTTGGACTTATGCGCAGGTGATTTGTGTCCATTACAGCAAGCCTGACTTTGCTTGTTAATTGTTCATATGTCTGACTCCCCATGGGCTAGTTCTTCTTTGTGTCCTGCTGGCTCCTAATAACAGAGCTTTGCCCATAGGGCCAACTATATGATGATAGCTAGGGAGGGACACTATTCATAAGATACTAGTCATGGACTTCAACAGTTCTGACAAAGGGGCTTTTGTCCCACTGCTGCTGCCACTGCCAACTACAATGCAGATATGGTTAATCTCATAAAATCTAGAAAAGAGATCAGAAGAAGTTTCAGAAGGCCTGGGTTTCAGTCTTGTATCTGCTACTGACCAGCAGTGATATTGGATAAGGTCTTTTTCTTTGAGCTGGAGGGGTTGGCCTAAATTAGAGATTAGAGATATTGCATGCAAACATATTGTTCATCCCACAAAATGATTTAAATTTAAATTCTTTTTAAAATTTACTTACCAACATTTAAAAATTGGACATCAGAATTCAGATTTTCAGCTTCATTTGAAAAATGAGACAATCTGGCAAAACTAGCCTGAGGTTTCTATACTGCAATAGTCAGCTAGAGCCCGTAAGCTTCTCCTCTTCACACTCTTTATTACCTTCCTCCTCTTCAACTATCTGCCTGACCCGTGGGCATCTGACTGGCAATTCTTGGCATAGGGATGTGCTGTTCCTAAAGAATCATTAGCTACATGTAGCTATTTGTTTTTTTACATGTAGCTATTTAAATAAAAATTTAAATGCCAGGTCCTTCCTCAGTTGCAATAACCATATTTCAAGTGCTTAGTAGCCACATGTGGCCAGTGGCTAGCTACCCTGTTGAACAGTGCAGTTATAGAATATTTCCGTCATTGAAATACATTCTGTTGGCCAGCGCTAGACTGGAGGAGCTTCAGGGTACTCCAGGTGCCAGGTGTTGCACATATGTAAGGATGGGCAGTCATTGTTCCTACTCTCAAGGAATTTTATCTAGTTAGGAGCTCCGTTGCCTCTGCAGATGGAAAAGTTGCTTATCTGGTAGTTAGAGGGTACTTAGAAACTCTTACGAGGGCAGGGACCCCCAACTCAAGCAAGGTGAGGTTATTCATCAGACGGTTGGATCAAGGGTCAGATGCTAGAAAGCTCCAGCTGTATCTAATGTTCTAACCAAAACTCTTTTGTCGGTTTTCTAATCCATTTCCCTAGGAAATTATCACTAAGGAGGGATTTAAATGTTAATTTAAACCTAAGTGTTTCTTGTTCTGGACTTCCCCAGTTCCTATGAAGGGGTGAAATCCTGGGTAGTTATGAATGAATGACTGGGGTTGATTTTTAGCATTGACCTAGTTTTCATCTATTTCCAGCACACACACACCCCCACACATGTCTAACACCTCCTCCTACTTCTGGTAACTGGTTCTCACTACCTCTGACTGACCCTTCCTTTGTCTTTGTCTCTTAAAATATGCAGATAAGGAAATACTTGCATTTCTTTTGAATTGGGGGTCCAAAACTTGGTTTCCATTTAGAATTTGTCTCTGAGGGGAAAAAGAGCTTATCTCTTTTGGTTACAAAAGCCTGTTGGAGTTCCCCTTACAAGTATAATCTTGCATGTGCTCCTATGCTGGTATATTTAGAATGAGCATACTTGCCTCCTATGATCTTGTTTGGGATAATTTAGAAGTCTTTCAGACATCAGTATTTTTGGTTTTTCCTTGTGTGCTGGAGATTTCCCATTTACAGGACCTAACCTAATTTCCTTTCCTTTAAGTAAAATGAAACCACGATCCACCTTCTCCCTGCCTCCTATCTCTGACACACCATATTGTCACTTTCTGTGTAGAAAGATGCTGTTTCAGAGAATAGCTGTGGTATGATTAAGTACACCACACAAGCATATCCTGAGATTTGCAAAACAATGTGTGGCTTTACACTTCCCTTTTTGGATTCTAGTAACTAAAAACTGAGCCCAGGACAGGAAACGAGTCCATTGGGTGTGTCTGCGACTGTCTGTCTATTAATGAAGAGGAGAGAGGATACAGGGGAGAGATGTGTGGAGCACCGATTATGTTGAAGGTTATTCGATTTGGGTAAGGATGGTACTGTCTAGGGTATGGGTGTACACCAGAAAGTAGGATATATAACAGATGTAGGAGAAAAACACACAAAAGGATAAGCAAGGAGTAAGAGATAAAGGAAAAAAAAATAGGAAGGGAAGTCTGGGCATGCTTTCGATGTTGGCACCTGCATTATATTTCCAGTAAGAAGTACGTGCTGTGGTCTGAAGATAAGCGGTGCCTCTGACAGGGTTATTTACTCATACTGAAGAACAATAGCCCTTTACTGTACAGGGATTATTAATGATCAGAGGGAAACAGCTTTAGGAAAATCCATTACTATCACAAAGCAATAAATTCGCCAACAGGCCTCGTGCTTCTTTGCCCTCCTCTGCAGACAAAGCTTAGCTTGAATAAAAGAGGCCTCATGGTTTCTTCTTTATTTCCTCCTATTCAGGTAACTTTTGCCTTTGTTAGCTCCCAATGCTAAGTGATTACATGGATTACCTCATGAATAATCCTTATCACCACTCTTTGAAGAGGGTTCTGTTGTTACCCTTTTTCATTTTTTAAGAAACTGAGGCTCAGGAAGACTTGACCAATGTAGTCAGAATTCAAACCCAGGTATGAACATTCCAGAACCCATTTGCTCATTAGTTGCATCGTATCTTCTGTTCCTTGCATATGTGGAAAAACTCTGAATGCCTAAAACCAAGACAGTCATTCTCTATTCTGCTTTCTGGGGCAAGAAAAACTGGTTTGGCATTATGAGAGCATTTCAGTTCCCTAGAGGTTTTCCAAATTTCAGAAGCTTTAAATTACAATTTTGTAGGTTTGGGTGATAATTTGGGTGCAATGGATCTATTCCCCAGAAGAATTTTTTTTCCAAGAAAAAAATGTGTCGGAACCACATTTTTCTATAT